CGTCAGTACCGGGAGCCCGGTCGAGATGGAGGAAGATGCGACCGGAGGCCATCAGTCGCCAGAAACAGAGGATAAAATGGGACCTGCAGCCTAGAGGTCCGCACTTGGAGTTCACCTCAGACGCGGCGGAACCACCCTGATCTGAGAAGGTAAGAAACCACCTGCATGGGGTGCCTGAGGACTGAGGTCTCCGAGGAGCTGGACCTGTCAAGGAGGCAGCGGGTGTCTGCAGTGCCCGGCTGCAGTTCAATGGGAGCCCGCCACGCAGTTTGGGGAATGAGGGACGATTCCAACTAGTCATCTCTTTCTGTCGGAGAAGCATGAGGTTCGCTGACAACGAAAGAAGCGTGGCGAGAGGCATGGCTAGGGACAAGTCCGAGGATCCAGAGGCGGCAGTTCGGGGGCCAGGACAGAAGCAGCTTAAAGCATGTGTCATGTGGAGTAGGTGAAGAGGATTGTCATGTGGTGTCTGCCATGAAGCATCACATGGGAGCCTATGAAAGACCAAAAGAAGGCTGGGTGGGAATCTCTTCATGTCCCAGAGCGGAGATTGTCTTGGAGGGAGAGGTTGGAGGCATGCCAGGGAACTTCCCTAAGGAAATGAATATTCATTAAGACTGATGGGCAAGCATGGAAATATATTCACATTCATGTGGTAGATAGCTCCCAGGATACAGAGCCTTTGGGCAGATGCAGTAAGAACAGAGGAGGAAGCAAAGATCTTGATTCCAGCACAGAAGTGGGGACCAAACCCCACAGATGACTTGTCAGAAGTTGTAGGTGTTGATTTGATTTGGTGGGGGTTGTTGACTGATAAGATGTGAATGAGTTTAGTAGACATGATTGAGCCCAGTCCTGGTGACCAGTCAGGTTGGAGTCAGAGGGCTCCTAACCTAGTCATAATGATCCTGGACTCCTGGAGTAGTTGTTACAATTGTCATAACACTGACAGTCCTTAACATTTAAGGCAGTACTTTCCAAACTCTGATATTTGTATTAATCACCCAGAGAGCCTGTGCAAATGTTGGCTTTTACTCAGCAGGTCTGTGGAGCATCCTGAAATTCTGTGTTTCTTACAAACTCCCAGGTGATGCCCATGCTGCTGGTCTGTGCTGCACTCTGAGTAGCAGAGATTTAGAGGGGCACTGTCCAGCGGAGCTTTCTGCAATAATAGAAGTATTTTGTTGTTTACAAAGTGCTTTCACACATACTAGCTTAGGTGAGTTGCCCCAAACTGTTGTATAGCTATGGCAGGCTTTATTAGCCCCATTTCAGAGATGAGGAAACTGAATTTCCTCAAAAGAAGGGATTTGGTTCCAATCCTACTAGAAAGTCATGGTAGTGGAACTCAAATGTGGATCTCCTGACTACTAGTGTTCTTTCCATCGGATGACCTTACGTTCCAGATGACTCTGTGTTGTCCTGAACCAGAATCTTATCTGAGATCCTAGTGAAGTCTGGTGTAGTTTTTCTGGTACAGGGAGAGTGAAGTGGAGAGGGCGTGTGCCTGCCTGGGCCAGTTTGTCCCTTTCTTCTGATAGGCTCATCAGTGAGGCCTCTGCCTCTGACATCTCATTTAATGACTTCAGGACATCCTGGGTCATTTGGTGGGTCTCCACATGAAGCACTTTTAACCTTTGTGTCTAAGCTATGTTAAAAGATTGAAGACAGTTCATAATTGGAGCCATGTGTTGCAGTGGTAAAAGAACCCGCCTCCCAATGCTGGAGACGTAAGAGACTCAGGTTCGATCCCTGGGTTGGGAAGATCCCCTGGAGGAGGGCATGGCAACCACTCCAGTGTTCTTGCCTGAAAAATCTCATGACAGAGGAGCCTGGCAGGCTACAGTCCGTAGGGTCACAAAGAGTCGGATGCAACTGAGCATGTACACATCCACACAAATGAGGGTCTGGGAAAGAGTCACAAAAGAAGCTGGACTGATTGAGTTGGAAGGCTACAGGAAGTGAGCGCACAGGTATCTGCAAGAAGGATTTTCCTGAGGGAGAGACAGAGGGAACTGGTTTTGATACTTCTGCATGAAGTTGGGAGGTTATAGAACAAAGAACAGGTTGAGATCCCAACTTTTAGGAGCAGCCCTACCCTTCAAAGGGGTAGGGAGAGTAGACGCAGTGCCTTCACCTTCAAGTGTAGAGGCTCAGCCCTCTGTGGCCTGGCCCATAGTGGCTTCCTTGGTCCTCATGGCAGTGGTGGAAGCTTCCTGCCTTGGCCATGGAGAGTCCTTCCTTCTTTCTGGGAATTTAAACTAGACTGGCACATGTGAGAGATGGAGATGGAGGAAAGTGGGGAAGTGAGGCACTGGGTGCTGCTGTAATCAGAAGATGTTGGTACATTCACTTTCATAAGCTGAGATGGTGGCCTCAAAACCAGGTTCTGGGACAGAGTCCTTTGTCGCTCTGCCTGTCACGCACTATTCATGAGCTGGGCAGAAGGCTCTCCTGCTTGAGCCCCGCTGTATTTGTCCTGTGACGACAACAGGCCCGCCCAGCCACTCTGCTCCATCCTTCCACAAACACGCTGGGAAAGCAGAGGCAGCTCTTGGTTTCTCTGGAACAGAGCTGAGAGAAATCCCTGGGCGTCTGCACGGCCAGGAGCTTATGCTTAACCCTTGCGTGACTGGCAGTTGTGAGGGCATTAATTCTGCCTCCCAGGGTTGGAATGACTTAGCTTTAGACGGAACAGAGATGATTTGTGCTGGAACTCCTCAGCTCCCATGGGGCAGAGGGCTGATGGAACAGAGGAGTAAACTTGGCTCCTATCCTGCCTCCACCACTGAACAACTGTGTGACCTTAGGCCTGTTTCTTTTAAACTGTTTGTACCTCAGCTTTCTCATTTAGCAGAATTGTCTAACTGTACACAGGTTAAGTTGTAAGGATTACATGAGGTAACATGTAATCAGTGAATCCTAGTATCTCTCTTCCCTCCTCTCTCAGTAGAAACGGACATATGACCTTGGGACCCTGGATGACAAGCACCCACTTAGTTTTTCAATGATACAGTGATCCCCTTCTTTTGAAGGGCCTCAAAGGAGAAGATTGCTCCACTGGACTTGGTGGGTGTCGTAGGCTGAGACTGGAAGAAGGGCCCTCAGCAAGTGGCACATCAGTGTTCCTAAAGTTCTCCTCCTAGAACTCAACCTCTAGTTCATTCCCCATGACCTCAATTCTGTTCTGGCTAGCTCAGTTGTTTCAGCCATTTTTCTTTCCCTTCCACTGTCCACATGTATTTCTCCATTCACCTGCTTTGTCCTCCTCCAGGAAGCCTATCTTGGTTACATGTGCCTCATGCATGTCTCACCTTGAAGCTGAGGTTTTCCCTTCAGATCACATGTACTGAGTTTATACTGCAGGTATCTCGTATTTTAATGAAAGTGATACAGTCCAGCTCAGGGAATTCCAATGCTAACCTTGCTTCTCCACAGACTTGTATGGTAAACCAAGAAGCTACTTAGGCTGGTTGGGACCTTTGACTGGGAAAAGTGGTTGAGGATGAGCTCTGGTTATACACTTGACATGAGATTTGTCAAGGCACTGGTGCTGGGACTGCTCATGTAGAACATCTTAGCTCTCTAGAGTTGTCCTTTTGATGCGGCCACCTCCTTTCCCAGACCTTAGGGATTTCTCTTAAAGTTTGGGGAGCCCCTGACTTCTCACTTCCTGGAATTTAACTTTCCACTTTCTCCTTCTGGCTGCAAATGTCCAGTATCCTACACAGGAGCACATTACATTGTCACTGTGGCTATGTCCAGTATATGATGTGCTCTCATTTGACATTTCTTAAATTGGAAGCTCCTGATTTTATATAGTTATTACAGTTGTAAGCTTATTTGTTTTGTTTGAAACTTTACTCTTTGGATACACATAACATGATGGCCACATGTATGTTAATTTGCCCTGGTTACTTTATCTCTGTTTCTTATGTCCATTCCCCAGAGGGATACTGTGTCTCTTTGAAGAGACTGAGTTTATCAAAGGCAGAGTCTCTCTGTCTTCTCTGTCACTTGAATCTCCCTTCATTAACTAGGGCTGAGGTTCTTATTTATGTGCTTGGGGATCAAGGGGCCAAGCATGTTCTCTACACTGTAGTTCTCAAGACTCTTAAGGGAAACTACTTAGCTCTCAGATGGTTCATTTCTTTTTCTGAGTGAGTTATCTAATAACCAAAGAGGACTCTGACCTTTGACTTGTTCCTGACTTCCTAATTTCTTTCATTAAAGGGGAGGGAGGTAGGAGGTGGCGGCTGTGGAGTGAAAGCCCTATTTGCTTTCTTCCTCACATTTTCTTCTAATGCAGACTGGAGAAAATGTAAGTGCAGTGAGTGTGGGTCAGGGAAGCTCAGAGGGGCCAACACAGGAAACCAGAAATAAAGTAAGGTGAGTCAGCTGGTAAATCGTGCTAAAAGAGGTAGTCTGCTGAGGCTCAGTGGCTGAAGGCTGAAAGCCTTGCCTTCTCAGTAGGCCTAGGAGCATCAGAAATGGAGCGCTTCCCTTTAGGTCTTAGGAGCCTCTGGCGTGTCACTTAGGGACATCCCAGTAGCCCACCTAAAGGTCTTGCCTCCTGTCATGTGGTTGGTTTGTCCACAGCATCCTGAGCTGTCTGGGTGAGCTAGAGAAGGAAAAAGAGAATGGCCGTGACACCAGGGCCTGGGCAGAGGCAGAGGGAGTAGACGATGCCAGTAAGCTGGGAGTAGGGAGCTGAGGTGGGACTGGGGGCAGGGGAGTCCCTGAGGTGAGAAACAGCTTTCACAAGAGGGGTCCTGAATGTGGACGGAGGCAGGGGCGGCACTATCTTGATCTGTGAAGGAAGAATCAGGCAGGGGTTGGCAGAGCCAGATTAGTTGAAGTCTAAGCTTTGGGGAGGTGAGTACCCCAGGAGATGAAGCCTGAGAATAGGGTTTCAGAGCCTAGCCAAGAGGAGAAAATGTGAATTCTGATCTCCTTCATACTCCTTCCATCCTGCTCCAGTCCCCTGGTCTCCAGGCACAATGGAGGACAAACGTAACATCCAGATCATCGAGTGGGAACACCTGGACAAGAAGAAGTTCTATGTGTTCGGTGTGGCGATGACAATGATGATCCGCGTCAGTGTCTACCCATTCACCCTCATCCGCACTCGGTTGCAGGTTCAGAAAGGCAGGAGCCTCTACCATGGGACCTTTGACGCCTTCATCAAGATCCTACGGGCGGATGGTGTGACTGGTCTCTACCGGGGGTTCCTGGTCAACACCTTCACCCTCATATCTGGCCAGTGCTATGTCACCACTTACGAGCTCACCCGGAAGTTCGTAGCTGACTACAGCCAGAGCAACACAGTCAAATCACTGGTGGCCGGTGGCTCGGCCTCTCTCGTGGCCCAGAGCATCACGGTGCCCATTGATGTCGTCTCCCAGCATCTGATGATGCAGCGCAAGGGTGAGAAAATGGGCCGCTTCCAAGTGCGAGGGAATCCAGAGGGACAAGGGGTAGTTGCCTTTGGCCAAACCAAGGACATCATCAGGCAGATCCTGCGGGCTGATGGACTTCGTGGCTTCTACCGAGGCTACGTCGCTTCACTGCTTACTTATATCCCAAACAGTGCTGTCTGGTGGCCCTTCTACCACTTCTATGCAGGTAAGCAGGAACTAGGAGGGTGAGGGTGGAGGATGGGTTACTAATGAGACAGATGCTATTGCCCCGGGCATGTTTGAATGGGTGATTTAATGGGAGAATTCATACAGCAAACATATGAGTTCAAGAGGATTCAGAGATGAATAAGACATGGTTCTTGCTTTCAGAGAGCTAATATTAGAGTGGAGGGAATCAGACAAGTAAAATCTGTGACTGTAGAACATTGAGTATGTTTTCCATGCATCAGGATCAACTAAGGTTTGTGGAATATTGGCAGAGAATGGGTGGAGAGGGACAAAATCCATGGGATTTAAAGATGAAGTCAGTGGTGATGAAGTCAATGGTGATAGTGAGCTTTTGAGTTGGATGCCTTTCCTGAGTATTTTTAAATTTAAGTTCAAGATGTAATACAATCTTGAAGCTCTCTAATCCTGTATTTTTTGTTCACAAGTATTTCTTAGAAATGGTATTATCGGGTCAAGAGATAACATTTTTTTTTTTTTTTTTAAATGGCCGTGCAGCATATGGGGTTTTAGACCTGCACCCCCTGCATTGGAAGCACAGCATCTTAACCACTGGACCTCCAGGGAAGTCCCAAGAGTTGACATTTTTGAGGGTCTTAATAAACATACCACCAGATTTCCTTCTGAAAGGGCAAAGCACATTGCCAAGAGCAGGACCTGTATGTGCTTGCTATCCTGAAACATCCACAGCGTTGGGCAACTCTCAAACTCCAGTCAGGGTAACCTGTACTTGCAACCTCGCTCTGCACTTGCAACCTAGCTTGTCCCTGCCACTGGCTCCTAAGCTTTGGCAGTAGGCATTCTGTTCCATACCGCCTGGAATTTTTCTGAGCAAGTTTTGCAATGACTTCCTAACTTATAATCACTTGGTTTCTATTGCATCATACTTTTCTGATCCTGTTATTTTTCTAAGTACTTTTTTTTGTAACTTTGTCTCTTTCTTTTGTTTTAACAGTCTTTCATCTAGAGTATTTGGTAAAATTCAAATACCTGGACTCCACCTTGACCCTTTGTATCAGATTATTTAGGAACAGATGCTGCTAATCTTAATGTTAGAGAAAGATCCTAGGAAAAATTTTCTCTGGAGTCTATGTTCACCCCTGTCTCCTCATTTGACTTCATCTATAATTAGGGTTGTCCTTTTCTAATATGTCCAAAATCTCTATTTCTTTTCCCAAGCTAACCTGTCCAGAGCTCTGGACAGATATTCTGACTGTTGGACCTTTCAACTTGAAAGCATGCGCACACATCTGAAATTTCACTCAACTATGACATTTTTCATCCCAGACTTTTTCTTCTGACTTACTTTCAGGTGTCAGTGGCCAGGTTATTCTACAGATCACTGAGACTGCGGCTTCGCACATGGCGCGTGGCCCCTGCCTCTTCCTTGTCCCCACTGACATTTATTGAGCCCTCACTGTGTGCCAGGCTTTGTGACACTGTGTCTCAGGGTCTGATGAATTGTAAGTGTTCAGTAAATATTTCTTGAGCAAATAGACTGGTTCTTGTCATTCCGTTTTGCTAAAATCTACCAGTGCTTCCTTATGGGTATTTAGAATAAAATCTAATGCTTCTCACAGTCAACACAGGTCTGTGTGACCTGGTCCCTGTCTCCTCCACCTCCATCTCGTGCTCCTCTCCCCTTTCTCTCTCTGGTCCATCCTCACTGCCCTTTGCTCAGTTCCTGAGATACATCAAGCTCTGTTGTCACCTCCTAGCCTTTGTAGATACTGTTCTTTCTGCCTGCAGTACCCTTCCCCATTTTCTTTATGGGTCCTTCTCACGCCTCAGGCATCGGCATACATGCTACCTTTACCCAACTGGAAAGAGGGCGCTTCCTGTTTTTTTTTCAGCACCTCTCCTTTAGAGCACTTATCATAATTTGCAATTGTTTTATCCCTAGCTCCCACGCAGCTCCTTAATTAGACTGTAAGTTCCATGAAGTTACTTCTCTGCCCATTTTTCTATTTTATGCCTAGTGCTTTCACAGTGGCTGGCATATAGTAAATATTAAATAAATACTCATTTATATTACTTGCCCAAAGTCATTTTGCCAGGAAGGACTTAAACCAAGTCAGCCTAGGTTTATCTTCTACTTTGCAGACAATAGATGCCCAGTAAACATTTGTTGAGTGAATAACGGAGAAGGAAAGACTTGGGACTCTTTCTCCCACCCTCTTGCCTTTGTTTTTTCATCCTCTTCCTAAACCCCAGAAAAATGGCATATGTGAGTGATTAGAATTGGAATCTGAATCCCACTGCAGCTTGTTGGCTTGGATGCCGATGCAGACAGACCCAAGGAAGCTTTCAGTGGCAGTCCAGATGCTACCTTCTAATGCTTGTGAAATGTTTTCTTCTCTGGAGAGCAAGACACCCTTGAGGCACAAGTGCTAGTTCACTTTGTTTCTGTTTGTATGCTGACCCTGGGGAAGAAAGTGATTAGAAATCAGGGGAGAGGTGATTCTGGTAGGGCTTAAGGAATTCTGTCATGCTGCTGGGTCTTGGAAGCCTTCGCTTCTGCCCTGCCAACCTCTACCCTCCTACTTGTTCTGTAATCTTTATTTGCCTGCCCATAAATTACCAAAACTAGGAGCATGAGAAAAAAGTTATTATTTTTAATGTGAAGTATAGTTAATATTTGTTGGAAGGACTGATGCTGAAGCTAAAACTCCAATACTTTGGCCACCTGATGCGAAGAACTGACTCACTGGAAAAGACCCTGATGCTGGGAAAGATTGAGGCTGGGAGGAGAAGGGGACGACAGAGGATGAGATGGTTGGATGGCATCACCGACTCAGTGGACATGAGTTTGAGTAGACTCCAGGAGTTGGTGATGGACAGGGAGGCCTGGTATACTGTAGTCCATGGGGTCGCAAAGAGTGGGACGCAACAGAGTGACTGAACTGAAACTGATAGTTAATATGTAATATTGTATTTACAGGGGTACAATATAGTGACTCACAATTTTTAAAGGTTATACTCCATTTGTAGTTATTATAAAATATTTGTTATATTCCCTGTGTTATATAATATATCCCTGTAGCTGTTTTACACCCAATAGCTTGTACCTTTTAATCCCCTACCTCTATAATGCACCCCCCCCCCGCCCCAGAAAATAATTCTTAAAGATGTTATGGTGACTGAATTGTAGAGGGAAAACTGAGAGGGATCCTTAGAGATGACAGATCTATTTGACACTCAGTCTCACTCAGAGTCAACGCCAAAGTCCATGCAATGGCTTCAAGGCCCTAAATGACTTACTCTCAGACCTCATCTACTCTTCCTCCCCTCACTCATCCAGACATATTGGCCTCGCTGCCCCTTGAAGATCTCAGGCATACTCATGCCTCAGGGCCTTTGCATAGGATGTTACCTCTGCTGGGAAAGTTCTTTCCACAGATTGATAAGGCTTACACTCTTCTTTAACTCTTTGCTTAAACTTCACTTTCTACCCTTGGCATTCTTATCTCCTTTTCCTGCTTTATTTTTATCTATACCTAAAAACATACATATTTTTATATGTATATAAAATATACAAATAAAAGTATATTTTAGCATACATCACCTCCTGATATATATTTTTTTATTTATTGTCTGTTTTCCCCCACTAGAGTGTAAATTTCATAAGGGCAGGGATTTGAAGCTTTTTTTTTTAAACATTACAATTTGGATTTATAAAAGTTGGCAAAAAAAACCACCCTGAAATACACACTACTTTTTTTTTTTTTTTAATTAGTTGGAGGCTAATTACCTCACAATATTGTAGTGGGTTTTGTCAATACACACTACTTAAATTAGCTTTGTTTGGTGAGGTAAAAGTTCTTTTTCCTTCTATTGTCACTTTCTTCCTCAATATTGTAAGATTGTTATATTGTTCTATGTTGTAATATTATTGTTGTATTGTTACATTGTTATATGGTATAATGTAATATATATTGTTATTGTTATATATTGTAATATGTTGTTATAATATTGTTAATCTGATACATTTTAATATTCCTATACATATCCCAGTTTAACTAGACAAAAATTTGGACCTCTGATCTCACCCTTCAGGAGATCTGGGGATCTGGGTGGCCCTTCCCGGGGCCGGTCTGTCCCAGGAGCAGCTGGAGGCAGGCTCCCCAATGGCAAGCATTGACAGCAACTTTACTTTTCTCATTAATGTACAATGAGAGAGAAATGAAGTTGCTGAGATAAGTGGGGACAGGTCACATCACACTCTTCATGGAGCGTTGAGAAGGATGGCCAGTTAGGGAGAGTCTCAGTCACCCTTGTGACTTCCCTGTAGTCTCCTCAGATGCTGGCTTGAGGCTCTTCTTCAGTGTTATGTCCTTAGAACCCAAGCTGGCTGGCTCATGGTAGTCACTCGGTGAGTCTTTGTTGAATAAATGAACAGACTCTCATCTCTCACCTCCAGAGAGGGGAAAAGCGAAAGAATTCAATTGCAGGTGAACTTCCCAGCGACAGTGGGGTTGGGTGAATCAGGTGTTATTTCATCTGCTTCATCACCATTTTGAAAAATGAATTTTCTTTCCTTGATAAAGGCTGAAGAAAAGTTTTCACTGTAGGATATGATTTTCTCTTTTAATTGTAGTTGTTTTTTATTTTTAAAAATATTCACATGGTTTGGAATTCAAAAGGTGGGAAAAGGTATGCAGTGAAAACACTCCTCTACCATAGTCACCCAGCTCCCTTCCTTGAAGACAATCAATGTTACCAATTTTTAATGTATTTTACCAGTTATCCAGTGCACATATAAGAAAATATGTAGCGTGTGCTTTTTTAGCCTGTGAGTTGGGGGAAGTAGAGTATCGGCATAAGAGTTTTATATCAGGAAGGATTTCTGTCCAGCAGATGAAAGGAGTCAGCAAGCAAAGGGATTTTGAAATCCCCTTCTCCAGAGGAATTTTTGTCCTGTTCAGATTGACCTCTGGAAGGGGCCTGAGATTTATAAATTTTTGTTGGTTCTGATGGACGTAAAGAAAAGAAAAGACAGGATGGAAGTTACAGGGTCTAAGGCGGCTAAGGATGGAAATTTTGTCATCGTTGGGCCAACTGGTAGAAGCAGCGTGGGGCACGTGGGCTGGTACCTCACATCTTGAGGCACTGTCTTTCCCTCGATTCCAGAGCAGCTCTCGTCCCTCTGCCCAAAGGAGTGCCCTCACATTGTCTTTCAAGCCATCTCGGGGCCTCTGGCTGCAGCCACTGCTTCCATCCTCACCAATCCCATGGATGTGATCCGAACCCGAGTACAGGTAAGACCAGTCTTCTCCTCTCCCCAGCTGCCAGATAAGCCATGAGAAGCCTTTCCTTGTGGTTATGACTCACCATCTCCAGAAACCAGCTGAGCACTTTGAACCACCTCAGATGTTTCTGTCACCCTGTCTACCACCTTGCATGCCTCTTTTCCTTGCCCATGCCCCCAGGAATCCTCACTGCTGTCTTCTAGGCTCTTGTCCTATTAGATTACCGTCTGAGCCACCAGAGAAGCCGTAGCATAGCATGTCAACCACCTTTTCCTTACCTTGCAGGTTTGTAGATACTGGAAACATGATTTTAGTTTATTTCACAAGTCTCTCTGGCTTTTCCACTTGGCTATGAGCTCTCTACAGTGAGTGACTGTTCTTGAACAGTTTTCACAGATGGTTCTGTGTGGACTCAGCACAAATACAGACAAAGGCCTTGGTGGTGCTGTCCAGAAATTATAGACCCTCTCTTTAGTAGGCTCAGGGACAATTTCACAATCCAGAGGCCAAAGAAATTGAATCTAAATGATATATAATATACAAATGATACATTTTGCTCTATAAAGCTTTAGGTGGAGTGTGTGTGTGCATGCGTGCACACACATGCACTCAGTCATGTCTAATTTGTAACCCACGGACTGTAACCCACCTGGATCTTCTCTCCATGGGATTCTCCAGGCAAGAATACTGGAGTGGGTTGCCATTTTTCTCCTCCAGGGGATCTTCCTGACCCGGGGATCCAGCCAGTGGCTCCAACATCTCCTGCATTGGCAGGCAGGTTCTTACCCTCTGAGCCGCTAGGGAAGCCTGAGAATGAGGGAGGAGAGGGAAGGATGATAACCTTAGCAGGTGAGAGGTGAAGTCAGCTTCTCTGATACCAGGATGTTAGGACGGGGGTGATTGGTAAATCTAGGTACAATTGAACCTTGAACAACATGTAGTTTAGGAAAGCCAACACTCTGCCTAGTTGAAAATCAGAGTGTAACTTGGCCCTCTAAATCCATGGTTCCTCATCCACAGATTGTATAGTACTGCAGCATTTTGAGGGGAGGCGGTGTTTTTTTTTTTAAGTATAAATAAAAATGAATTTTACTTAATCATTTTGGTATCGGTTACAGTCATAAAGACATTTAATTACATTGCGGGTAATATAAGCAGGCAGTTCAGTTTTAAATTCAGTTTTTCTTAGCCACCCCATGTGGCATGTGGGATCTTAGTTCCCCATCTGGGGATCAAACCCATGCCCACTGCAGTGGAAGCGAGGAGTTTTAACCATTGGACAGCCAGTTCAGTCAGTTCAGTTCAGTTGCTCAGTGATGTCTGACTCTGCAGCCCCATGGACTGCAGCATGCCAGGCCTCCCTGTCCATCACCAACTCCTGAAGCTTACTCAAACTCATGTCCATTGAGTCTATGATACCATCAACCATCTCATCCTCTGTCGTCCCCTTCTCCTCCTGCCTTCAATCTTTCCTGGCATCAGGGTCTTTTCAAAATGTCAGCTCTTCGCATCAGGTGGCCCAAGGATTGGAGTTTCAGCTTCAACATCAGTCCTTCCAGTGAATATTCAGGACTGATTTCCTTTAGGATGGACTGGTTGGATCTCCTTGCAGTCCAAGGTATTCTCAAGAGTCTTCTCCAGCACCACAGTTCAAAAGCATCAATTCTTCAGCACTCAGCTTTCTTTATAGTCCAGCTTTCTTTATAGTCCAGTTCTCACATCCATACATGACTGCTGGAAAAACCATAGCCTTGACTAGACGGACCTTTGTTGGCAAAGTAATTTCTCTGCTTTTTAATATGCTGTCTAGGTTGGTCATAACTTTTCTTCCAAGGAGTAAGCGTCTTTTAATTTCATGGCTGCAGTCATCATCTGCAATGATTTTGCAGCCCAAAAAAATAAAGTCTGCCATTGTTTCCACTGTTTCTCCAACTATTTGCCATGAAGTGATGGAACTGGATGCCATGATCTTTTGGACAGCCAGGGAATTCCCTAAATTCAATTTTTTATGTAATAACTCTGCTACCTATGTAAAATTTTGATTTATTTCCAGAGAAGCTAAATAATCTCTTTAAAATTTAATGTTAGTATAAGCATGAAATTCTTAAATTAACCAAGTATATACTTTAGAGAAACAAGATTATATCTTGATATGTTTCAAGATATACAATACATAGAGGTTAAAAAGCAATGGTAAAATCTTCCTGGTTATTTTATTTTCTATTTATTTTTAATTTTTATTCTGTTACTGCTGAAAAAAAAATACTGCATATAAGTGGACTCACACTGTTAAAACCCCTGTTGTTCAAGGGTCAGTTGTATATTTATCTCTAGGAAAGATTGTCCCCACTATGACCCATACATTTTATTTTTTTATTTTTATTTTTTTTTTTGACCCATATATTTTAAAATGAATCTGATCGGTTTACAAATAATAAAGTGCACAAGTTCTATCCTTATTCTCTCCTAGCCTTGTTATGGGGGTTCCATGAGGAGAATCAAGGGAAAGAACAGCTCCCTACTATATGACTTGGCAACTAAACAACACCTACTTTGAGGCGTTCCCAAGCTAGAAGAGACAAAGTGCATATGAGGACCAGGGCCATAGCTAAAAAAGTCCTTGACGTGTCTGTAGATAAGTGGAGGATGAGAGGAGCACGAGTGGTCAGAGGAAGAACAGAATGAGGGAATGTGGAAGCAGGTGCTAAAGGAGGCAGAGAGGAATGGGGAGATGTTCTTAGTCAAAGATGGGACCACCTTGGGAATAGGGAAAGGTATAAGAAGGAGTGTGTCTGTCTGTCTTTGGCTGCGGGTCTGAGTGGGGTGGTCTTTAAATGTGTTGTTTGGTTGTAGGTATGGAGAAGAGGGCAAGAGTATTAGGAAAGAAGAGAGAAAAGATTCTTGCCTTAGCCAGGCTTCTGGTACAATAGGGAAGACAGGTCACAGGGTGGGAGGTGACAGGGATGGAGGGGAAGACTCTAGCCATGTGGGTTCAGAGGAATTGAGATGATCAGAATCAAAATGTCTGCAGATGCCTTGGAGGTGATTTAATCCAGCCTCCCCGAGACCAGAGAGGAGAACCTGGTCCAGACTCATCACTGTGTAGTTTATGTAATAATATTAATGAAGCTAACATTTATTGAATACTTAGAGTCTGCCTGGCACTGTTCTCGGCATTTATAAGAATTCTTTTGCTTACTGCATAAGACAATGATACGGTGTAGGTACTATCATTATTATTATATATTTGAGGAAACTGGGATGCAAAGTGCTAAGGAAATTACCTGAGATTATGCTGTTAGTAAATTAGGGGGCAGGATTCATACCAGGCATTGTGGCACCAGAGGCCACACTCATTCACTGTGCTGAACTGTCCCGCTGAAGCAGAGTCCAGCCCTCTGACTCCCAAGTCTAATTCTTTCCACTTTTAGGAGAGACTGGGTATAGGGACTTTGCAGACTGTGATCCTCCACTGTGTTGACTTTTCCAGGTTGAGGGCAAGAACTCCATCATCCTGACCTTCCGACAGCTGATGGCAGAAGAGGGGCCTTGGGGGCTCATGAAAGGCCTGTCGGCCAGAATCATCTCAGCCACGCCCTCCACCATTGTCATTGTGGTGGGCTATGAGAGCCTCAAGAAGCTCAGCCTCCGACCTGAGCTGGTGGACTCAAGACACTGGTAACCAGCGATGGGGAGAGAAGCCTGCTGTTTCCTACACTACTCTGGGTCAGGGGCAGAGAGGAGAGGCGAGTACCCTCTCCAAGTGCCCCCACCGCATACCTAGTCCTGCTGTGGGCCAGGTGGCCTGTCTGGGACAGGGACAGAGACTTTGAACTGCTCTTGCTGAAGAGTCTCCACGCCTGGATCCCCCATCCTCATTATTTTTAAATTTTCTTGCCAAGCTGGGCTTCCTCACTCAGTCCAGGTACTCAGTCCAGCCCTAAGGAAATCCACTCTACCCGCCAATCCTACTCCATCGATCCCCTGCTGACCCTCTCTGCCTTCTCCCTCCCTCCATCTGTGGCCCTGAGATCCTGAGAAGAGCTGTACATAGAACTTGGTTACTACCGCTAGTTCTTCTTATTGGGCTTTCAGTCCGAATTCCAAGCAGCTGCCATCAGCCCTTCATCTCTTAGGTTTGCTTATTTTCCTTTTGGGACTGAGCTGCCCACCAGACTACTCTGCTTTTCTCTGCCACTGGGGACAAGGTGCCAGGCACTTTTACACAGGAAGTAGGAGCAGCAAAAACCTCTGGTTCTCCAGAACATGTGTCCTCTCTTTGGAGAGTTATTAGGTTGGGGAGAAATGTTGATACTTTATTTTGTGTGTATATTTTTCTGTGAACCAGGCTACTGTGTAAGTCCTGCTAAAGCACCAATCCTGCAGTCAGAGCCCACCCCTTCCTCAGACAGGTGAAAAATGTAATGTAGCTTTCCCTCAATCCCAGTTCCCTATCCCTCCCAGCCCCTCCAGTCCCAGCAGCCCCAGGACAAACAAGCTGCTGTTTTCCCCTGGCCCAGATGACTACAGTGGTGGGCACAGCTCCAAGTAAATCAGACTGTTTGGGACACATCTGGACTTGGAACACTACCCTGAAAAGTCTGGTTGAGAGAGTAGTTGGTTTGGAAAGTGACAGAAAGATATGTGTGCCCTAGTGCATCTCCCTTGACCAGCTGAGCCAAACCTAGCAGAGGGTAGTGGAGCCTCTTAACCCCAGGCAGTCATCACACACACACACACACACACACACACACACTCACTTGGACTCAGAGAAACAGATGTTGTCTCACAATGGGAATCTCTGTGATGTGGAACTGTTTGTGTTTTTCTTCTCCCCGATGTAAGGAGACCTCCTGGTCATGGTACCCTCTGGAGCGATGCTTGGAGGAGGGTAAAGGGCGGGTTGGGAAGTCACTCAATACCAGGACCACTGCATTTACCAGCCTGATACTGCCGAGATTATCTGTTGAAGCTCTCAGGAGCTAGGTGATGAGTGCTTCTTTCCTGCCTCATCCTTCTCCCCACAACACAAACCTCCTCTACCAAGTCAGTGTGGCAGGTGAGGAAAGGTGCAGCAAATGGAATGAGAAGAAGGCATATCAAACCCACACTTCTGCTTGAAACATCTGATTTGTATGACCCTTCACACTTTCTTATTTGGTCCCCCCCCTGGGAGAGGCCACGGTGCCAATTTGAAAGGTGCTAGCTACCTGAAGCCTTGATATTTCTTATGGCTGCCCCACAGTCTATCCCCCAGGGCTAGATCAGAATCTGAATTCTCTACCTTTACCACCACTTCCCATCTTGTGCTCTTATCTTTGAAGGTTATTTTCTCTTTCATTTCATTGTTTGTCCCTTCTTGGACTTTGTCAAGAGTCCTCCAGTTTCTATTCACAAATGATCATCTAAAGGGTTGGGTCTGCACCTCGTTCTGAATCTTCCTGTCTCAGTCACTCCTTCACCCTAAGAACCACGAAGGTAAGAGAAGCCAGGGGTCCCTTCTTTCTCTTTAAACTCATTCTGTTGAGACCTTTGGAGGTTGATTTTCTCAGCTCCATGCCTTCCCCTTCCTAGAGACTTAGATTCAGTCCTTCCCCACCATTGCAAAGTGGGTAAGGTATCATGGACAAGAGGTAGCCTCCTGCTTCTCTTCTCTTTGGTTGTTTCTCCGTCCCAGACTCAACACTTTTTCTTCTGTTTTGTTTTCTTGTAAAGTATTTCAGTCTTACCTGTTTCCTGTTCTCTCTCTCTCTCTCACACACACACACACATACACGCGTGCGCGCGGGTGTTTTAAAAGATGATGTGCATATATACTAAAAGGGACCCATGGCCCCTTACTTTTCCATCTAATATTTCAGGGACTGGTATTGGGTTTGATTAAAATATGTCTTGGTGGGGATGGAACTGTGGCCTTCCATTTTCCCAGGACCATGGATCGGACCAATTGGAGTGTTTGATGTATTGGTCTGCAGCCAAAATTGGAAGGAACTTCTGGGAGACTGGGCAAGATGGGGAAACCTGATGGGAGTATTGAAGGACAGGGGAATAAAAATGCAGATACAGTTAACATTTGATAAAGTGGACTCCTGTGAATAATATTAACGGCAAACATTCACTGCTGCACTGTACGAATTCTCTAAAAAGTGTAACTAAACGTTTTTATCGAGTCCCTGAGTTTCAAGTTTCTTTTGCCTTCTCGCCAAAAAAGGAATACGGTTGTTGTGTCTGTATAATCCTCCGCCTCCGGCAGTGTCCCCCCGACTGTCCGCGGCATGGTGATAGACATTTGCTGCTTCCAATCGGAGGCGCCCACGGCCGGGAGCGGCCAATCGGGAGCTTCGGTAGGCGGGGCGGCCGGGTCAGTCGGTTTTGGCGGTTCTATTTCAACATGGCCGAAGCGAGCAGCGTCAACGCAGGCAGCGGCTGTGAAGAAAAAGGGCCCGAGGAATTGTCTCAGGAATCTGCGCGCCCCGGCAGTATCATTTCGAGGGTGAAGCTTTTCGACACCATGGTGGACACTTTCCTCCAGAAGTTGGTTGCTGCCGGGAGGTAAGGTAGAGGAAGTGAGGCTGAGTGTAAATCTCGTTGTAGATTGTTGGCCCACTGGAGTCTAAACCTCGCGAGATCAGGATGGCCCGTGATGGGTGGGTGGGGGCAAAGAGCTGACTCACGTGGATGTTGGGGTTACTGGTTATTTTGCTAACATAAGTACTGTGGAGCAGATCTAGGACTTCTAGCTACTCCTTTCTCCAGTAAACCTGGTGTTGATTATAGGTGCTTGGAAGGAACGTTACAGGCTTTCGAATTAGATTTAGGGTTCAAATCACGGCCCGACTTAAAATGAAAAAGATTTAACTGCTCCGTGCTTCTGTTCAGCGTGAATAAAATAGCAACAATAGTACCTTTCTCATGGGTCTTTCCGAGATTTAAATGAGTAAATAGTCGTAAGGGTTTTAGAACAGTGCCGGCAACGTAGAAAGCATTAGAATTATAGAATTTATTATGAAAATAGTAATACGTTCTTAACGGGGTGGGTGTGAGGAATAAATGTCTTAAATAGAAACTCTTCTGGTCTACTTTCTATGAACAGTATTCTAACAGTGTCACTGACCTGGGTTATTGAACACTTCAAATAATAGAAATTGGTAAGAGGAGAAATTCAGGCAAGCCTTTGTTGAGACTCGTGGTGCAGCAGGAGGGCTTGAAAACAAGTTGGAGTCCTTGCTGGTTTTCCTGTGGGACAGGCAGCTGGTCCCTTAAATGGAGAGAGGACAGGGGTGGGTCCATTGGTCCAGCTTGGAGAGGAGGCTTAAGTGTTCTACCTACCCCTTCAGTGGTGCTATGTGCGGGATCATGTGCAGTACCCAGCTTTTACTTCCAACAGCCCAGAAGTAACTGTTGGCTTTTTGGTCTTTTTGTATCTTATTCATAACTTGCCATTAACTGTGCATGTATGTGGTTAGTTTTAGTCCCTTGTAGTTTCTTTGTATTCTGCTCTTTGAGGAGACTTTTGCCCAGGTGCAGGTATTGCAGCAAGGGGACCCAGGTCTCAGCCTCTCAGAGCAGTATTGGACACTTTGAAGGACAAGTTTTGTCCATGGTCCCATAACCCAGAACTTTAGTGCTGAAACACTGTTATCAGAACCTTCAGAGGTTTGACCACAGCCTGTTTTCCATCCACCCTCTATGTCCCCATTACCTCTGTTCTTTGACCTCATCAAGACTCTCATCTCCTGATTTCCTTCCTATTTTTAGGACTTTGTTTCCTGCAAAGACCTTAGGATCCATCTCTTCACTCATTGATTCACTTAGCAAATATTTAAGTGCCTGTGACAGGCACTGTGTCAGGTGCTGGGGATACAATAAAGTAGACTAGGCCCCTGTCTTGGAGCTTACTTGAAATATGTAGAGACATGAAGTAAGCAAAATTATCACAGAGCTTGGTAAGGTAATGAAGAGGCAACTGGTGGGGGGAGGGGGGGAAGGAAAACACTAGATAAGATAGGAATTCCACTCTGAGAAAGTGACATTGATCTGAAACTTGAAGAATGAGAGGGAACCAGCCTCTTGAAGAACTAGAGAAAAAGCTTATGGGAAGGAGGAACAGCTTGTGCAAAGGCCTTGAAATGGTCAGGGGAATTCTAGGAAGTAGCAGAATGAGTAAAATAAGAGGAGGCTGGACAGGCAGGTGATAGGCTTATCAAGCAGGGCACAGTTTCCATAGTAATACATTTGATAAATAATTTATAATCATTTTTATGGACCATTCATGACACACCATCATTATATGTCCAGGCAAGCTCTATTACTGATCGATTGATTGGCTTTCTCTTACTCATTCTTGCCCTCCTCTCCCCTCCCCATAGGCCCTGTTCTCCATTCGCTGTATGTCCTCCGTTTATTCATGTATTCATGTGCAAATATTTACTGGATATCTCTAGTGTCTCAGTCTCTGTTTTAGGAACTGGAAATACCGCAGTGATGAAGATAGGAAGGTCCCTGCTCTCATGGAATAGACTTTTCTTGTGCCATAAAGAAAAATAAATCCGCGAAAAGGAATCGAGAGCAATAGGGATGGGTCTGGGTTAGTGTAAGTGCAAGGACCTGACATTTGAATAAGTTTGCACCCTTGTAAAGTGTGTTGTTTTGTCTGTAAATTTATATAGGTTTTAAATTTATATGAATCATAATCGTGCTGCATGTCTTTTTCAATCAACAGATTTTTGTTTTTAAGATATAACCATATACTGTAAATGCATGTGGTTCATAGCTTCTCAGTGCTGTTTATCATTTCATGATACACATCCAGCACTTACCCATTCCCAATTATGAACTCTTGATTTCTTCCAACTCCCTCCTCCACAGATTATGCCAGGGTACCTCCCCTCACAAACTAGTGCTAGAATTTCTTTGAGGTGTATGTACAGTGGAGTGAAATCACTGGATCCAAGGATTTACATCTACCTATGTTTTGTCAACTTGCTTTCCAGAAAAGCTGTTCCTATATCCGCCATTCTAATGTTTGCCATTCTGAGGGTGTGAAAAGGATATTTCATTATTATTTTAATTTGCACATTTCTAATTCTGCATTAGGTGTGGGCAATTCCTGTATACCTCGTTAGTCGTTTGACTTCCTTTTCTGTGAACTGCCTACTTATTTCCTGTACTGGTTTTTTTTTTTTCACTTTTTTTAAAATTGGGTTTTTTATCTTGTTGATTTGCTGGAGTTCTCAGTATGGTCTAGATATCAATCCTTTTGTCAGTTTTAGACTGAAGAGAAAATAGTTATCTCTATGAGATGTTAGCTTTGTCTATAATGTCCTTTGAGTAACAGAAATCCTTAATTAAATTAAAAATTGCAGATTTTAATTGTTTACATTTTACCCCAGGAAAATGAGGCAGAAAGAGAAATGTAGTCATCCCAGGGGGCCTTCTCCCAAGCTATGTGTATACTCATGACTCTATTCAACCTTTACACTAACTCCACATCCCTCAAACAGTCCTAATAAAATGTTAGGTATCACCTAATCAATTTGTATTTTAAAACCCTCAATTTTCATGTAAGTCATATGTTTAATCTTATGGCCTATGCTTATGATATCTTGTTTATAGAGGCTATACCCACACCCAGATCACAAAGATGATATTCAGTGTTTTCTTCTATTGGCTGTTCTATCGTTTTACTCTTTCAGTCTGTGATCTCTCTGATCACAGGTATAAAATGGTAGTTTCAGTTAGTCTTACTGTTTTTTTAGTGTTCCCAATCATTGCCAACTAAACAGTTCGTTCATCTCCATTGCTTTGTGGAGCCCTTTTATCACACGGCAAGGCCCTCTGCATATTGTGCCCCTGGGTCTCTCTTCTGTTTCACTGATCTATTTGCCTGTCTTTGTGCCAGTGCATATGGGTTCTGCAATTTTTGGTACATATTTTGGCAAGTTAAGGAAGTCCCTGTCTCATTCTAGTTTTCTGAGAATTATTAAGAAGATCATGATTAGGTATTGAACTTTATCAGATGTTTTCTTCCTCAGTTAGGAAGATCTTGTCATTTTTCTTCAGTTTGTTAATGTTTATGATCTACATTGGTAGATTTTAGGGAAGTTAAACTGTCTTTGCATTCTTGGAATAAATCTTGAATATGATGTATTTAAAATATATAGTTGAATTTAGTTAGATCAATGTTTATAAGCTCTTGGAAGCAACAGTTAGAACTGGACATGGAACAACAGACTGTTTCCAAATAGGAAAAGGAGTATGTCAAGGCTGTATATTGTCACCCTGCTTATCTAACTTATATGCAGAGTACATCAGGAGAAACGCTGGGCTGGAAGAAGCACAAGCTGGAATCAAGATTGCTGGGAGAAATATCAATAACCTCAGATATGCAGATGATACCACCCTTATGGCAGAAAGTGAAGAACTAAAGAGCCTCTTGATGAAAGTGAAAGAGGAAAGTGAAAAAGTTGGCTTAAAGCTCAACATTCAGAAAACTAAGATCATGGCATCTGGTCCCATCACCTCATGGCAAATAGATGGGGAAACAGTGTCAGACTTTATTTTTTGGGGGTCCAAAATCACTGCAGATAGTGATTGCAGCCATGAAATTAAAAGACGCTTACTCCTTGGAAGGAAAGTTATGACTAACCTAGATAGCATATTAAAAAGCAGAGACATTACTTTTTTAACAAAGGTCCGTCTAGTCAAGGCTATGGTGTTTCCAGTGGTCATGTATGAATGTGAGAATTGGACTATAAAGAAAGCTGAGTGCTGAAGACTTGATGCTTTTGAACTGTTGTGTTGGAGAAGACTCTTGAGAGTCCCTTGGACTGCAAGGAGATCCAACCAGTCCATCCTAAAGGAGATCAGTCCTGAGTGTTCATTGGAAGGACTGATGTTGAAGCTGAAACTCCAACACTTTGGCCACCTGATGCAAAGATCTGACTCATTGGAAAAGACCTTGTTGCTGGGAAAGATTGAGGGCAGGAGGAGAAGGGGACAACAGAGGATGAGATGGTTGGGTGGCATTGCCGACGCAATGGACATGGGGGGACTCCAGGAGTTGGTGATGGACAGGGAGTCCTGGCGTGCTGTGGTCATGGGGTCGCAAAGAGTCGGACACGACTGAGCGACTGAACTGAACTGAAGTGAAATGAGACTATGATTTCTTTTTTTTTTTATACTGTCCTTATCAGCTTATAGAATCAAAGATATGTTAGCCACATATATTCCTCTCCTGGAATGGTTTATATAAAATCAGGATTATCTATTCCTCAAGAGTTTGAAAGAGCTCATTTACGCCTGAAACTTTCTGGGTTGTTGAGGCCTGCCAGTATTATGTTAAGCATCAGTGATGCAGTAGGCATCTTTTGTCATGTCCATAAAGTGTCTGGGCAGTGTTTGTTGCAGATTTTTAGTGTTACTGTTTCTTTAATGGCTACAAATCTGTTTAGATGTTATTTCTTCTTAAGACAGATTTACCATTTTACAGGTTCCCCCCTCCCCAAAATTTGTCTCTTGAACTATTTTAAATTATTTAATTTTCATTATTT